CTCCTGCACACCCCCCACTGGGGATGTGCCCGCAACCAAGGTACATGCCCTTGACCAGAATCGAACCCGGGACCCTTCAGTCCGCAGGCCGACGCTCTATCCACTGATCCAAACCGGTTAGAGCATACACTTATATATTATTGTTAGATATAAAGACAAAATTCTAGTCCTTTTGTTAGTTTTTAAATTTTACTTATTGGTATTAGAGAGCGGAAGGGAGAGAGCAAGAGAGAAACATGGGTTTGTTGTTGCACTATTTGTGCATTTGCTAGTATTGGTTGCCCCTTGTGTGTGCCCTGCCTGGGGATGGAACCCACAACCTTGGCATGTGGGCATGATGCTCTAACCCACTGAGCTCCCCGGCCAGGCCTCTCGTCCTTTCAGGGAGTCCTTTTTCTGTCCGTAAGTCCAACCGAAGCTCCTCAGATGCTGCATGGAGAGCAGGGTTCTCAGCTCTGCTTCTGCCACTGTTCACAGGCTGACAGGCCCCCGCCATGAAGGCCTCGGCGGCAGCAGAAACAAACCATTGCTGGTCCCAGTGTGGGGCGGCCCCTTCCCCCTCTGACTGGGGGCCTTGGAGACCTCAGGGGAAGGCTGAGGTGCAGGGACTAAGCGTAAGGGTCAATCCTGAACAGTGCAAAAGGACAGCTTAAAAAATTTTTTTAATATATTTTTATTGATTTGAGAGAGAGAGGGAGAGAGAGAAACATAAACATTGATCGGCTGCCTGCCCCCCTGGGGATCACGTCTACAACCAGGGCATGTGTCTTGACCAGGGATCGAACCAGCGGCTTCTGGGTGCAGGAGTCGGCACTCACCACTGAGCGCACCGGCCAGACCACAGGGCAGTTTCATAGCCATCCCTGACGGAAGCAGAGAGAGGGATGCAAAAGGCCAGTCCCCAGGGGCAGTGGTTCTGGGAGGGTGGGCTGCCCCAGCCCTAGCGATCCAAGGTCAGAGGCAGAGAACTTGGAGGCCTGTTCTCTCTGGACCGCGTGCGCAGTTCTGTGCAGGCCTCTACCCGACAGAACCCGGTCCTGGGGGCGGGGCCCAGGTCTCTGCATTCGGGAAGCCTCCCGGGTGAATCTGATGTCTTGCTGGGTGGAGAAGCTCTGCTCCCCAAGATGTTTTTTTTCAAATAAGCCTCTTCGCTTGGTTCTGTATAGGAACACTTTCGAGGCTGTGCTGATGGTCTCTCTGCCATTAGCCGAAGGGAGACATCTGAGCTGGGAAGGTGTGCAGGTGAGGTGTCTGGCTCTAAAGGCTTAAGGAGGGTTCACCGAGAAGGGGTGAAATTACCTAGTTTTGCATGCATTTTAAAAAAAATATTTTTTCATTTCAGAGTGGAAGGGAGAGGGAGAGAGAGGTAGAAACATCAATGATGAGAGAGAATCATTGACCAGCTGCCTCCTGCACACCCCACACTGGGGATGGAGCATGTGCCCTGACCGGTAATTGAACTGTGACCTCCTGGTTCATAGGTTGATGCTCAACCACTGAGCCACACTGGCTGGGCACATGCATTATTTTTTAGATTACAAAAGTAATACATGTACCTTACCAACATTCAAGTAAATATGGGAATACATATGACTAGAAATAAAAAGTTCCCTCCCCATCTCATTCCGCATAGTTTAGAGGGAAGCGCGCTAGCAGTTTGGGATATAGTCTCCCAAATCCGTGACGCTCTTCCTGCTGGTTAAGGAGACCGTGTGTGAGTGGACAGGCGCACCGAGGCTCCAATTCTGACCCCTCATGCCCCTCTATTGGTTTCAGCAAACACCTGTCTGGATCTTCCTTGGTGTCAGGAAGTGTTTAAAATGCTGGGAAGGCAACGTCCCTGCCCTCAGGGAACGTGGGGCCCATCCAGTGGGGGCCAACAGACAGTGTTGACAATTTAAGATGATGATGATGCTATTAAGCAAAGAACATGATGCTGGGTGTGTGTCCTTGCTAGTTTAGACAGGTTGGTCACAGACGCCTCCTCTTGGAGGAACGTTTGAGTTGAGACTTGAATGGTGAGGAAACCTGGGTGGGCGTGTGTGCAGGGTAGAAAGAGGAACAGCGAGGTAGGAAGAACTTTGGATTGTCCGGGGAGAGAGGAGGACGAGGGTGCGGCAGGATGGGGGAAGGAAGGTACGTAGCTGGATCAGGGAAGTAAGCAAGGCCTGAGGACTTTCTATGGATTTTTAAAATAGTGCCATAGGCCTGGCTGGTGTGGCTCAGTGGTTATGCACTGACCCATGAACCAGGAGGTCACGGTTCGATTCCCAGTCAGGGCACATGCCCGGGTTGTGGGCTCGTTGCCCAGCGGGGGGGGTGCAGCACGCAGCCGATCACTGATTGTCTCTCATCGTTGATATTTCTATCTCTCTCTCCCTCTCCCTTCTTCTCTGAAATCAATAAACAATAAAAAATAAAATAGTGCCATAGGAAGTCCTGTTGGAGCTGTGAGAAGGGAGTAACTGCGCCCCCGCTCCGTGCTGGTGGAGAAGGTCTGGCAGGGGGCAGCAGAGAGCCAGTCCGAGGTGGTTGTGGGGTAGGAAGAGGTGCGGTGTCGCTGTGTAAGCCCAACTTCATTCGGAGCCTCATTTTCCCCAGCTGTAGAATGGGAGTAATAACTACCCTCCTCCCAGGACTCTCGTGAGGAATAAAGGGGATAATCCGTGTAAGCCTTAGGCACCCTTCCTGGAAACGGTAATCATAATTTTTTTTAAAAAATTCTCACCCAAGGATATTTTTTCCAGGGATTTTTAGAGAAAGTGGAAGGAAGGGAGGGAGGGAGAGAGAAACCTCGACATGAGAGAGACGCAGCAATTGGTTGCCTCCCCCACACACTGGGACTGGGGGACCTGCAGCCCAGGGATGTGCCCTTGGCCAGGAATGGAACCCGAGATCCCTCGGTCCTCAGGCCGAGGCTCTAATCACCGAGCCAAACCGGTCAGGGCGAACACGGAATCATTACGGCCACTGGCTTCAAGTTCTAGTCGCCGTTACCGGGTAAACTTGAAAGTTAAAAAAAACCTGGAAACATTTGGAGTTTTAAATTTTTCTAAAAGTCAAGTAGGAAAGAGGAGCAGAGAGGGCCCTGGGTCACAGAACCCTGGCCGCCCCAGGACTGAAAAGAGGGGGGTGCCTGGGATGGAGGCAGTGGAGG